AAGGAGTGGACGGAGGCTGGAGTCAGTGCATCAAGAGCCACCACACACAGACGGATCCTGGACATGGGCTTCAAATGTCGTATTCCTCTTGTCAAGCCGCTCCTGAACAACAAACAACGTCAGAAGCGTCTTACCTGGGCTAAAGAAAAACAGACCTGGTCTGTTGCTCAGTGGGCCAAAGTCCTCTTTTCTGATGAGAGCAACTTTTGCATCTCATTTGGAAACCAAGGACCCAGAATATGGAGGAAGAATGGAGAGGCACACACTGCAATATGCTTGAAGTCCAGTGTGAAGTTTCCACAGTCTGTGTTGATTAGGGTCCAGGGTCAACGCAGCCATCTACCAGGAGACTTTGGAGCACTTCATGCTTCCTTCTGCAGATGAGCTTTATGGGGATGCTGACTTCATTTTCCAACAGGACTTGGCACCTGACCACACTGCCAAAAGCACCGTAACCTGGTTCACTGACCATGGGATTACTGTGCTTGATTGGCCAGCAAACTCGCTTGACCTGAACCCCATACAGAATCTATGGGGCATTGCCAAGAGAAAGATGAGAGACATGAGACTGAACAATGCAGAAGAGCTGAAGGCCGCTATTGAAGCATCCTGGTCTTCCATAACACCTCAGCAGTGCCACAAGCTGATAGCTTCCATGCCACGCTGCATTGAGGCAGTAATTGCTGCAAAAGGGGCCCAAACCAAGTACTGAGTACATATGCATGCTTATACTTTTCAGAGGTCCGATATTGTTCTATGTACAATCCTTGTTTTATTGATTGCATGTAATATTCTAATTTTCTGAGATTGTGGATTTGGGGGTTTCATGAGCTGTAAGCCATAATCATCACAATTATGACAAATCACGGCTTGAACTATCTTGCTTTGCATGCAATGAGTCTATCTCATATATTAGTTTCACCTTTTAAGTTGCATTACTGAAATAAATGAACTTTTGCACGATTTTCTAATTTTTCGAGTTTCACCTGTATGGCCAGCTTAAAGAAGTGGCAATTACCAGCTTTGGAGCTCAAGTAACTCAGTCAGTTTGCTAGCAGCAGTACATTTTGCTGAACATTGCTTGCTCTATTTCAACTTTTCCTATTTGCCTTTTTTTCTACAATTCCTTTTTGAAAGATTTGTATAGGCATGACCCATTTTTAGCCCCAATCTGTCCTCTCCATCAGCATTATATCTGTCTTTTACCTTGTTCATGCAGTGAAAACAGTAGTTATTGCTGTCTCTGAAACCATCAACAGATTTGTGAATTTCTTACAGGGGTAGTGATCAACAGGGTGCACATTGTTAGTTCCTATGATATAGGAAATTTCCAGAACTACATCTCCCAAGGCTTTCCCTACACGTTGTGTGTAAGTAGGTTCTTGGGAGTTAAATAATATGTAAACCCAACATTTAATATTCTGATGTGCCTACTGTACCATATACTTGTATGAAAAACTTGTATCCTGTTTCTCTTTGTATTGCTTCCTTTGTGTGAAATCCTTGGTGTTCCCGCTAGTCCCTTTGCTTGCACGAGTCAATTCTGACATATTTTCCTGACATCAAGAGAAAAAAGGTGATGGGGAGGAAGCTCCAGCACACAACCTGTGGTTGACCTCAGCTCAGCTCCATTCCTGTGGGCTGTATGAAGGGTCATTGTATCCCTTCCCTACAATCAGCTCTCATTGAGCGTGTAACTTCAGCTCCCCACCCCCTGCATTCTGTTCAGACAAGCTGTATAAATTCTGCACTTTAAATGACTGTAAGAGAAGAGTGCAGATACAGCTTATGTAGAAGGATTTGTTTTATCTCTGTGTATCACCTAAGGCCAGTCACTTCACTGGGTACATGCAGTGACCCCCTCCACCCTCACAAAATTCTTTAGTCCTGCAGAGGAGAACATAGGCAGGGCTGACAACGCTGCTTGGGATTTTTTTTTTTTTTTTGCTTGAAGGGTTTGTAAATTAATAAAACATGGGAAAAATGTGTATGCATTGCAGAGCATACTGCAGGTTTTATTCTTAATTCTTACAATTTAAGCCACAGGTGTCAAACTGGCAGCCCTCCAAACTACAAGTCCCATGAGGCAATGCAAAACTGACAGTTACAAGCACTCCCAAAGGCAGAGGCATGATGGGACCTGTTGTTGCGCAACGGCTGGAGGGCCGCCAGTTTGACACCCCTGCTTTAAGCTTTTGCTGGGGCATAAAATCTCTATTTGATACTGCATTGTAAATTGCAAAGAGGGGTCAGCAAAGTAAAGTGAATGCTAAAGCTATTTAATACAATGAATGATTGGAAGGTTCGCACCAAAGCTATCACAGGTGGTCTGCGTTATAATGCCATAATTAATCAGGAGTCTGTACTATGTCATAACATTTCATTTAGGGTGATTTTTGTAACATTTTTTTCTATACAGAAGCAATAACATTCCCCAGGAAGCCTTCAGCAAATGAGAAATAATGCAACAAACAGGAGACCAACAAGACAAAATCACTTTAAGAAGAACAGAATAGAAAAAATATAAATCTTGTCCTTTTAGTGTAGGTGAAGCATTTTTTTGTATTGTATATAGTGCAGAAACAGGGGCGGACTGACCATTCGGAAACTCGGGCACTGCCCGAGGGCCCTGGGTCAGTAAGGGGCCCCATGAGATGCCCCTGGTACCTTTCATAGGTTTTTTGGGTGTGGTTTGAGTGTGGGCAAGCACAAAGGGGCCCCATGATCCCCTATTGCCCGGGGCCCCCATGAGTTGTCAGTCCACCCCTGTGCAGAAGAGATAGAACCCTTGTAAACCCTTGTTGTTTAACTGCTGTATGGGGTTCTAATCATTCCCAAATCCATCCAAAATGAAAAAAGGTCTTGATATACACTTTAATAACCAGTTCTTCCAGTCACTAAACCCAATAACAAAAGTTATATGTTTTGCAGCTTACTAGTCTTTAAATGTAGCAGATGCATTCGTTTTTATTTTTCAAGCTAAAAACTGTTTTATCAAGACAGTTAGTACACATTGATCTTGCTACAAATGTAGTGAATTTGTCTCTACCTACCTAGGAAGGAAAGTCTTTTTTTTTTCATTTTGGGTCAGGGAGCGTTTTGCCATCTGTGTCTCATCGGGGAGATTTCCATTCATATCCTGTCACATAGCCAAAACAGTAAGCCAGGGGCATACCTTCAGGGGTTGCAATTTGCGACCCGGCCCCATGCTGGCCTATGCGGCCCCCCTGTACACCTGGATAGGAGGGGCAACGGAGTCGGCATATAGTGAAATCGAACTCTCCATGTTCCTCCTGCAGGTGCTGAATGCCTGTGGGAGGAGAAGCTGGCATTCAGCGGCTGCAGGAGGAACATGAAGAGATTGGGTCCTCTATATGCTGCCGCCCCCGCCGTTCCTCCTATCCCCCCAGCCGTGATCTCCGGCCCCACTCAGGTCTTTCCTGGCCACTCTGAAAAAGAGTTAATTCTTGCCTTGAAACGTGTTAGCACCTGTCCTTTATATATTCAATGTTGTGCTTTTTTTTTTAGCCTATACCCCATGTGAATTATGATTGATGTAAAAAGTATTCAACCACGTTTTTTCTGTCTTGTGGTTTTAGGTATAGGGTTGTCTCTAGAGATGAGCGAAGTATTCAAAAATTCGATTCGACTGATTCGGCGAATTCGTGGACAATATTCGATTCGAGTCGAATATATTCGCTGTGAATTTAACTTAAAAAAGGGTGTTTCTAGGCTTCAGAGAGACTTAATATTAGTGCAGAACACTGTACCTTTAATTTAAATGCCCTTGGAGTCTGCTGGGGAAGAGAAATAATACTGTCAGTCAGTATGACATGCAGATGAGTGCCGTCGATCTTAGAATCACCGCACACTTCACTCATTTGGCCAGTCACGGGGCCAAAACCAGTGTTTGGAGCCACAGTGTGGCGGTGGAGGCAGCAGCAATGGGAGGCCATACAGCAACCTATGACAAAATGGAAACCAGCAGGAGTGTGAGGAGACCTCAAAGTGGCACATGGCAGAGTGGGAGCAATGGGAGGCGGTACAGGGACCCATGTCACACTGTGGACCCAGCAGCAGCGTGACGAGGCGGTACGGGGGCCCATGGCAGATTTGGGGCCTGGCAGCACCTATGGGAGGCCTGTAATCTGCCAGCAACCTATGACAAAATGGAAAACAGCAGGAGTGTGAGGAGACCTCAAAGTGGCACATGGCAGAGTGGGAGCAATGGGAGGCGGTACAGGGACCCATGTCACACTGTGGACCCAGCAGCAGCGTGACCAGGCGGTACGGAGGCCCATGGCAGATTACAGGCCTGGCAGCAGCAATGGGAGGCCCGTAATCTGTCAGCACCCTATGACAAAAAATGGAACACACCAGCAGTGTGTGAGGAGACCTGAAAGTGGCACATGGGCAGAGTGTGGCGATGGAGACAGCAGCAATGGGAGGCCGTACAGGGACCCATGAGAGACTCTGGACCTGGCAGCAGCATGAGGAGGCGGTATAGGGGCCCATGGCAGATTAGGGGCCTGGCAGCAGCTATAGGAGGCCCGTAATCTGCCAGCACCCTATGACAAAAAATTCAACACACCAGCAGTGTGTGAGGAGACCTGAAAGTGGCACATGGCAGAGTGTGGCGATGGAGACAGCAGCAATGGGAGGCCGTACAGGGACCCATGAGAGACTCTGGACCTGGCAGCAGCATGAGGAGGCGGTATAGGGGCCCATGGCAGATTAGGGGCCTGGCAGCAGCTATGGGAGGCCCGTAATCTGCCAGCACCCTATGTCAAAAAATTCAACACACCAGCAGTGTGTGAGGAGACCTGAAAGTGGCACATGGCAGAGTGTGGCGATGGAGACAGCAGCAATGGGAGGCCGTACAGGGACCCATGACAGACTCTGGACTTGGCAGCAGCATGAGGAGGCGGTATAGGGGCCCATGGCAGATTAGGGGCCTGGCAGCAGCTATGGGAGGCCCGTAATCTGCCAGCACCCTATGTCAAAAAATTCAACACACCAGCAGTGTGAGGAGACCTGAAAGTGGCACATGGCAGAGTGTGGCGATGGAGACAGCAGCAATGGGAGGCCGTACAGGGACCCATGACAGACTCTGGACTTGGCAGCAGCATGAGGAGGCGGTATAGGGGCCCATGGCAGATTAGGGGCCTGGCAGCAGCTATGGGAGGCCCGTAATCTGCCAGCACCCTATGACAAAAAATGGAACACACCAGCAGTGTGAGGAGACCTGAAAGTGGCACATGTTTGGGGCATGATTCATGGCGGATTTAGTCAGTTGTGTCAGGAACTGGTGGTTTGAAATCCAGACTAATCCACGCCTGATTCATTTTCACAAACGTGAGTCTCTCCACACTTTGGGTGGACAGTCGTGTCCTCCGCGGAGTTGCAATACCTCCTGCCGCACTAAACACGCGCTCCGATGCCACGCTACTGGCCGGGCATGACAGCCTTTCAAGGGCAAATTCAGCTAGTTGGGGCCAAAGGTCAAGTTTCGTTGCCCAGTAGTCAAGGGGATTGTCTACCTCGGTTGGCAGGGTGCTGTCCAAGTAGGCCTAAGCCTGTTGTTTGAGGTCCTGCTCCAGGTCCACCTGATGCTGCTGCTGCTGCTGCTGCTGCGGCTGGTTATTAGTTTCCTCACTGCGCTGGTGAAGAAAGCTACTCATCATCGACTGCAGACTGAGGCAGCTGCTGCTGGTGGAGCTGCCACTGCTCCTACCACCCCACCCCTCCCCTGCTGCCATGGCAGCGTAAACGCGAGCGCACAGGGCCCACAGTGTCTGAGGATGGACGTTGGCGCAGACAGGCAGAGACCAGCTGACTACATAGGTGGTTTTTTTTATAGTACGTTATTTTGGCCTCCCTCTCAGCAGGTGTGAAAAAGGCCACCATTTTGGAACGGTAGCGAGGGTCCAACAAGGTGGACAGCCAAAAGTCATCCCTCTGTCTGATGGTTATTATTCGGCTGTCGGTACGCAAGCAAGCGAGCATGCTATGGGCCATTTGTGCCAAGGAATGCGAGGGACTCCCTGCCTCCATCTCCACAGCATACTGCCACGGTGCGTCTGGGTCCTCTGTCTCCTCTTCCTCCTCCTCTACCAGATGCTCCTGCTCCTCCACTCCTGTCCGCTGAGTGGAAAAACCACCCATTTCACTCAATAATTCCTGAGCACCAATGTCCTCCTCTACCTCCTCCTCTTCTTCCTGTCCTGCCCCCACAGGGGTCATGTGGCGTTGAGATCTGTGCGCCACGTCTACCGCACCCTGACCAGCCATTGTTAACAGCATTTGTTCCAGGACGTGCAACAGAGGAATGACGTCGTTCATCCCATAGTCCTGCCGACTCACGAATAGCGTGGCCCTCCTCAAAGGGCCTGAGCAAGCGCAGGTGTCACGCATGAGCTGCCAATGGCTGACATCTAAGTTACACAGGGAGTACCTTTATCCGCTTTTTAACATCAGGAAATCTGTGATGGCCTTTTGCTGTTCGTAAAGGCGGTCTAACATATGTAGGGTTGAATTCCACCTTGTTGCAACGTCACAGCATGAGGAGTCGGTACGGGGGGCCCATGGCAGATTACGGGCCTGGCAGCAGCAATGGGAGGCCCGTAATCTGCCAGCACCCTATGTCAAAAAAAAATTCAACACACCAGCAGTGTGTGAGGAGACCTGAAAGTGGCACATGGCATCTGATGGAGACACTGAGAAGTGGCAATGTGGAGACCAGCAATGGGAGGCCGTACAGGGACCCATGAGAGACTCTGGACCTGGCAGCAGCATGAGGAGGCGGTATATAGGGGCCCATGGCAGATTAGGGGCCTGGCAGCAGCTATGGGAGGCCCGTAATCTGCCAGCACCCTATGTCAAAAAATTCAACAACACACCAGCAGTGTGTGAGGAGACCTGAAAGTGGCACATGGCAGAGTGTGGCGATGGAGACAGCAGCAATGGAGGCCGTACAGGGGACCCATGAGAGACTCTGGACTTGGCAGCAGCATGAGGAGGCGGTATATAGGGGCCCATGGCAGATTAGGGGCCTGGCAGCAGCTATGGGAGGCCCGTAATCTGCCAGCACCCTATGTCAAAAAATTCAACACACCAGCAGTGTGAGGAGACCTGAAAGTGGCACATGGACCCATGAGAGACTCTGGACCTGGCAGCAGCATGAGGAGGCGGTATATAGGGGCCCATGGCAGATTAGGGGCCTGGCAGCAGCTATGGGAGGCCCGTAATCTGCCAGCACCCTATGTCAAAAAATTCAACACACCAGCAGTGTGTGTGAGGAGACCTGAAAGTGGCACATGGCAGAGTGTGGCGATGGAGACAGCAGCAATGGGAGGCCGTACAGGGACCCATGACAGACTCTGGACTTGGCAGCAGCATGAGGAGGCGGTATATAGGGGCCCATGGCAGATTAGGGGCCTGGCAGCAGCTATGGGAGGCCCGTAATCTGCCAGCACCCTATGTCAAAAAATTCAACACACCAGCAGTGTGTGAGGAGACCTGAAAGTGGCACATGGCAGATGAGAGCACTGTGGACCTGGCAGCAGCATGAGGAGGCGGCGGTATAGGGGCCCATGGCAGATTAGGGGCCTGGCAGCAGCTATGGGAGGCCCGTAATCTGCCAGCACCCTATGTCAAAAAATTCAACACACCAGCAGTGTGTGAGGAGACCTGAAAGTGGCACATGGCAGAGTGTGGCGATGGAGACAGCAGCAATGGGAGGCCGTACAGGGACCCATGACAGACTCTGGACCTGGCAGCAGCATGCAGCATGAGGAGGCGGTATAGGGGCCCATGGCAGATTAGGGGCCTGGCAGCAGCTATGGGAGGCCCGTAATCTGCCAGCACCCTATGTCAAAAAAATGGACACACCAGCAGTGTGAGGAGACCTGAAAGTGGCACATGGCAGAGTGTGGCGATGGAGACAGCAGCAAAGGGAGGCCGTACAGGGACCCATGACAGACTCTGGCCTGCAGCAGCATGAGGAGGCAACATGGGCCCATGGCCACGATTAGGGGCCTGGCCACAGCAGCGGTTACGTTTAGGGGCCCATGGCAGATTGGCGAGGGCCTGGCAGCAGCTATGGGAGGCCCGTACTCCTCATCTGCTCTGCACCCTATGTCAAAAAATTCAAGGAGGCAGCAGGGGTGGTAGATTAGGGACCTGGCAAATGGGTGGCACATTGCCAGCACCCTGACACTGGCGACACCTGCTGCCTCACTGGAGAGCAGCAATGGGAGGCCGTACAGGGACCCATGACAGACTCTGGACCTGGCAGCAGCATGAGGAGGCGGTATATAGGGGCCCATGGCAGATTAGGGGGCCTGGCAGCAGCTATGGGAGGCCCGTAATCTGCCAGCACCCTATGTCAAAAAATGGAACACACCAGCAGTGTGTGAGGAGACCTGAAAGTGGCACATGGCATGAGCAGAGTGTGGCGATGGAGACAGCAGCAATGGGGGCGTACAGGGACCCATGACAGACTCTGGACTTGGCAGCAGCATGAGGAGGCGGTATATAGGGGCCCCATGGCAGATTAGGGGCCTGGCAGCAGCTATGGGAGGCCCGTAATCTGCCAGCACCCTATGTCAAAAAATTCAACACACCAGCAGTGTGTGAGGAGACCTGAAAGTGGCACATGGCAGAGTGTGGCGATGGAGACAGCAGCAATGGGAGGCCGTACAGGGACCCATGACAGACTCTGGACCTGGCAGCATGAGGAGGCGGTATATAGGGGCCCATGGCAGATTAGGGGCCTGGCAGCAGCTATGGGAGGCCCGTAATCTGCCAGCACCCTATGTCAAAAAATTGAACACACCAGCAGTGTGTGAGGAGACCTGAAAGTGGCACATGGCAGAGAGTGTGGCGATGGAGACAGCAGCAATGGGAGGCCGTACAGGGACCCATGACAGACTCTGGACTTGGCAGCAGCATGAGGAGGCGGTATATAGGGGGCCCATGGCAGATTAGGGGCCTGGCAGCAGCTATGGGAGGCCCGTAATCTGCCAGCACCCTATGTCAAAAGTGAACGAACACAGTGTGTGAGGAGACCTGAAAGTGGAGGCCTGGCGATGGAGACAGTGCAGCACATGGCAGGCCGTACAGAGGACCCATTCAGACTCTGGACCTGGCAGCAGCATGAGGAGGCGGTATATAGGGGCCCATGGCAGATTAGGGGCCTGGCAGCAGCAGCTATGGGAGGCCCGTAATCTGCCAGCACCCTATGTCAAAAAATTGAACACACCAGCAGTGTGTGAGGAGACCTGAAAGTGGCACATGGCAGAGTGTGGCGATGGAGACAGCAGCAATGGGAGGCCGTACAGGGACCCATGAGAGACTCTGGACCTGGCAGCAGCATGAGGAGGCGGTGTTATAGGGGCCCTATGGCAGATTAGGGGCCTGGCAGCAGCTATGGGAGGCCCGTAATCTGCCAGCACCCTATGTCAAAAAATTCAACACACCAGCAGTGTGAGGAGACCTGTGGCAAAGTGGCACATGGCATGAGAGGCCGTTTACTGTGGACCTGGCAGCAGCATGAGGAGGCGGTATAGGGGCCCATGGCAGATTAGGGGCCTGGCAGCAGCTATGGGAGGCCCGTAATCTGCCAGCACCCTATGTCAAAAAATTCAACACACCAGCAGTGTGTGAGGAGACCTGAAAGTGGCACATGGCAGAGTGTGGCGATGGAGACAACCCACCGACTGTTTTGCTCGCTGCCAAGCTGCCACCCTCTTCTCCTGATGATGCGGAAGCAATAGCCTGATGACGACGAGGCTGCCAAGTGCGATCAGCCTCATCATCATCAATTAGGGTCTCCGCCTCACTACTAGCCCCCTCGGCTGCGTGTGGGTCAGGAGACAGACCTGTCTCTACACCGGCTACCGAGCACACTCTCCTCGCCACTACTTCTTCGCCTGGCTGCTGAAGAGGCGGATGTCTCCCCCCGTTCCTGACCGCCCTCTGTTAGCTCTTCCTCACTGTAACCTCTTTCTGGTGATGACACCTGGCGGGCACTAGCCCTCTGGCTGCGAATAGTGCTGCCTCGACCCCTTCCTCTGCTGCCACGTCTGCTCGCTCCTAAAACATTGCCTACCCTCCACTGTCCACTCCTCTGCATGTTGTCTGACATACTCTTTAATTAAACGATTCTGTGTCCCTGAGTAACAAACAATTCTGTGTCCCTGAGTAAACGTTTCTGTGGCCCTAAGTAACAGTTCTGTGGCCCTCAGTAACAGTTCTGTGTCTGTCTCCCTCAGTAAACAATTCAGTATGGCCCTAGCAGTAACAATTCTGTGTCCCTGAGTAACAATTCTGTGTCCCTCAGTAACAATTCTGTGTCCCTGAGTAACAATTCTGTGTGTCCCTGAGTAACAATTCTGTGGCCCTGAGTAAACCAAGTTTCTGTGGCCCTAAGTAACAATTCTGTCTCTGTCCCTGAGTAACAATTCTGTGTCTGTCCCTGAGTAACAATTCTGTGTCCCCTGAGTAACGTTTCTGTGGCCCTCTGAGTAACAATTCTGTGTCCCTCAGTAAAAACAATTCTGTGTCCCTGAGTAACAATTCTGTGGCCCTGAGTAACAATTCTGTGTCCCTAAGTAACCAATTCTGTGTCCCTGAGTAACAATTCTGTGTCCCTGAGTAACAATTCTGTGTCTGTCCCTGAGTAACAATTCTGTGTCCCTAAGTAACACGGTTCTGTGGCCCTCAGTAACAATTCTGTGTGCCCTGAGTAACGTTTCTGTGGCCCTAAGTAACAATTCTGTGTCCCTCAGTAACAATTCTGTGTCCCTCAGTAACAAATTCTGTGTCTGTCCTGAGTAACAATTCTGTGTGTCCCTAAGTAACAATTCTGTGGCCCTCAGTAACAATTCTGTGTCCCTGGAGTAACATTCTGTGGCCTCAGTAACAATTCTGTGGCCCTGAGTAACAATTCTGTGGCCCTCTGAGTAACAATTCTGAGTCCTCAGTAACAATTCTGTGTCCCTAAGTAACGTTTCTGTGCCCTAAGTAACAATTCTGTGGCCCTGAGTAGTAACAAATTCTGTGGCCCTAAGTAACAATTCTGTGGCCCTAAGTAACAATTCTGTGGCCCTCAGTAACAATTCTGTGTCTGTCCCTGAGTAACAATTCTGTGGCCCTAAGTAACGGTTCTGTGGCCCTCAGTAACAATTCTGTGTCCCTGAGTAACAATTCTGTGGCCCTAAGTAACAGTTCTGTGGCCCTCAGTAACAATTCTGTGTCCCTGAGTAACAATTCTGTGTCCCTGAGTAACAATTCTGTGGCCCTAAGTAACAATTCTGTGGCCCTCAGTAACAATTCTGTGTCCCTGAGTAACAATTCTGTGGCCCTAAGTAACGGTTCTGTGCACTCAGTAACAATTCTGTGGCCCTCAGTAACAATTCTGTGTCTGTCCGAGTAACAATTCTGTGGCCCTAACTAACGTTTCTGTGGCCCTAAGTAACAGTTCTGTGGCCCTCAGTAACAATTCTGTGTCCCTGAGTAACAATTTCTGGCCCTAAGTAACGTTTCTGTGGCCCTAAGTAACAGTTCTGTGGCCCTCAGTAACAATTCTCTGTGTCTGTCCCTGAGTAACAATTCTGTGGCCCTATCAGTAACGTTCTGTGGCCCTAAGTAACAATTCTGTGGCACTCAGTAACAATTCTGTCTGTCCCTGAGTAACAATTCTGTGGCCCTAAGTAACGGTTCTGTGGCCCTCAGTAACAATTCTGTGTCCCTGAGTAATTAACGTTTCTGTGGCCCTAAGTAACGGTTCTGTGGCCCTCAGTAACAATTCTGTGTCCCTCAGTAACAATTCTGTGTCTGTCCCTGAGTAACAATTCTGTGGCCCTAAGTAACGGTTCTGTGGCCCTCAGTAACAATTCTGTGTCCCTGAGTAACGTTTCTGTGCCCTAAGTAACGGTTCTGTGGCCCTCAGTAACAATTCTGTGTCCCTGAGTAACAATTCTGTGTCTGTCCCTGATTAACAATTCTGTGGCCCTAAGTAACGGTTCTGTGGCCCTCAGTAACAATTCTGTGTCCCTGAGTAACGTTTCTGTGGCCCTAAGTAACAATTCTGTGTCCCTCAGTAAACAATTCTGTGGCCCTAAGTAACGGTTTCTGTGGCCCTCAGTAACAATTCTGTGTCCCTGAGTAACAATTCTGTGGCCCTAAGTAATGGTTCTGTGGCCCTCAGTAACAATTTCTGTGGTGTCCCTGAGTAACAATTCTGTGTCTGTCCCTGAGTAAACAATTCTGTGGCCCTAAGTAACGGTTCTGTGGCCCTCAGTAACAATTCTGTGTCCCGAGTAACAATTCTGTGGCCCTAAGTAACGGTTCTGTGGCACTCAGTAACAATTCTGTGGCCCTCAGTAACAATTCTGTGTCTGTCCGAGTAACAATTCTGTGGCCCTAAGTAACGTTTCTGTGGCCCTAAGTAACAGTTCTGTGGCCCTCAGTAACAATTCTGTCTGTCCTGAGTAACAATTCTGTGGCCCTAAGTAACGTTTCTGTGGCCCTAAGTAACAGTTCTGTGTCCCCTCAGTAACAATTCTGTGTCTGTCCCTGAGTAACAATTCTGTGGCCCTATCAGTAACGTTTCTGTGGCCCTAAGTAACAATTCTCTGTGGCCACTCAGTAACAATTCTGTCTGTCCTGAGTAGTAACAATTCTGTGGCCCTAACTAACGTTTCTGTGGCCCTAAGTAACAGTTCTGTGGCCCTCAGTAACAATTCTGTATCTGTCCCTGAGTAACAATTCTGTGGCCCTAACTAACGTTTCTGTGTCCCTAAGTAACAATTCTGTGGCACTCAGTAACAATTCTGTCTGTCCCTGAGTAACAATTCTGTCTGTCCCTGAGTAACAATTCTGTGGCCCTAAGTAACGTTTCTGTGGCCCTAAGTAACAGTTCTGTGGCCCTCAGTAACAATTCTGTGTCTGTCCCAGAGTAACAATTCTGTGGCCCTAACTAACGTTTCTGTGGCCCTAAGTAACAATTCTCTGGCACTCAGTAACAATTCTGTCTGTCCCTGAGTAACAATTCTGTCTGTCCCTGAGTAACAATTCTGTGGCCCTAACTAGCGTTTCTTTGGCCCTAAGTAACGATTCTGTGGCCCTCATTAACAATTCTGTGTCCCTGAGTAATGCTTCTCTGTCCCTAAGTAACGTTTCTCTGTCCCCAAGTAACGTTTCTGTGGCCCTAACTCTGTCCCTAATACAGAGCGAGCGGTCTGCCTCTCTTGAATGACTGGAGGCAAATGAAGAATTCTAAAATGGCCGCTATTTATAGCTCTCGACCATTACACAGTGCTGGCTGGCTGGCTGCTGATTGGCTAATGCGATCACATGTCATTAAGGAATGCATTATGGGTCAGCGCGCCTTGTCTGCGCGCCTTCCCAGACATCCCCGCTCCGTCGCCGCACATGTCCGCCGCCATTTTAGGAAAAATTTCGATTCGCGCGTCCGAAGTAGGCTATTTTTCGGATTCGGCGTGAATCGAAAATTTTCCAATATTCGACTCGAATTCCACTTCGCCTACTTCGATTCGCTCATCTCTAGCTACAGTATTTGGGGAATACTATGGAAAATGTTATAATTGCCTAGCCCCTGATAACCACCCACCCCTTCAGATGGTTGCTTTTGATGCTTTTATTGGCTCACTTCAATTACCATGTTTGTCACCTTCCGATGATACATACCTCAATGCAAACATCTCTACCGAAGAACTTTTGGATGTTGACAAACACCTCCCTTCTCACAAATCTCCAGGGTCGGATGGTCTTCCTTACTTATATTACAAGTCCTTTATCGGAATCTTGGCCCCCCATTTCATGACCTTGTTGCGGGATCTCTTGAAAGGGGTGCATCCACATGAAGTTTTTACCCACGCATACATTTCGGTGATCCCCAAGCCGGATAAGGATCATTCCCTTACAGATAACTATCACCCTATAGCCTTATTCAATTCTGACTACAGGATTTTTACGAAAATACAAGCTAACAGATTAGCCAAATATATCTCCAAGCTTATACACAGAGACCAGGTGGGATTTGACCCGGCTAGGCATGCTGCAAATAATGCCGGGAGGACCATTGACCTGATTGATCTAGTCAATAAGTCTCCGACCCCTACTGTCTTGTTGACCTTGGATGCCCAAAAAGTGTTTGATAGACCAAGTTGGTCATACATGTTTTTAGTCCTAGAGAGATTCGGGTTTAGTGGTCTGTTTGTAGCTGCCTTAAAAACCCTTTATTCCACTCCCTCTCCCAGGTTAAATTAGCATCATTTATATCCCCTTCCTTTCAGATGTCCAATGGAACTCACCAGGGATGCCCGCTTTCCCCCCTGTTCCTAGTCCCCCTG